AGGGAACAGAAGTGATTTTACGAACAGAAAGATGTATGTTATGAATTGTCTCCCCCTATCGAAGCTGACACAAAGTTCAGTACCCGTGACCATGTACAGTATGTGCTGGAACTATATTTTTTTTGTCTCCGAGTGTGAGATACTAGTAGCCTGAGACATCACGATTCTAGTACCATTTCCATTTGACAAGCCCATAGAAGCTCTTCGTCGGGAGAATTGGAAATACCTTAAGCTTATTAATTTATGTATATGTACTAACATGGACCAATTAATTAATGTCAGACTGAGAACTGCCTGTTACCATGGTGTTGGAGACTGTGATAACTGGTTTCCATAGTGACTCAGAATTCTGAGCTCCTATCGGACTGATTTTCATTGTGACAATAATAATTAGATCCTGTTGGTAGCTCTGGGAATGGGAATGGTTCAACTTTCTTCAAGCTCTCCGGCAAGAGGCCCAATCAGCCCCTGACAGCGAGAGATAGCAGGCTAGCGTACTACAGATAAATCCAGTTTGTTACCGAACAGATGTAGCGACGGACGATCAATCCGGCCCAAACACGTGAGTAAAGAAACCGCTAGTTGGCTGTTTGAAAGTCAAATAAGATGGACGATCTAATTACAGGGTAACAATGTTACTATACACGTCTGATGTGGAGAAAAAAAGGAAACCTTTGAAGCAAGTGATTCCTCCCGACGGCCTGTTCATGTTGTGAGAAGCACTTGCGCACCTGTGGCTCTTGACCAAATCATCAACAAATGTTGCCAAAAACAGTTACTCAAGCAACTGGATATGATTTTGAAAACGTCAGACGTTTCAGCTAGTATACACTAGCTTTCGTCAGTGACTGAGAGACCAGAGGGGAAAGCAGGTTTATATACACAACCTGTTGATTGATATGCAAATAAAGTGAAGACAAATTTTTGGAAGTCGAAAAAGGAACAAAAGTTAGACAAGTCAAGACAAGATGATGCAAATTAGTCTGAAAGCTCCTGTATTACAGGACAGGAGCTTAAGTGTTGTCTGTCCTCGGGGCTGGGAGTGCCAAATCCCAAGTGCCGGAAAGATCGACCCGTAGCCCGGCTTCCCTGTTGAGGGTGGGGTTGTACATTCTTTCATATATTGCCTCTTTAACACCCCGTTCCCACCAGCGTGTTTCGCGGTCTAATACATCCGTGGACTCGAGTTTGAAAGAGTGACCCTGGTTGTGTTGTAGGTGGTGGAAAATAGCTGAGGAGTAGCCGTTGGCACTAGGTTGGCAATGTTCTTTGTACCTTACTTTAAGCGGTCGACTTGTCTCTCCGATGTAGGTGTAAGCTCCTGTCCTGTAATACAGAAGCTTTCAGACTAATTTGCATCATCTTGTCTTGACTTGTCTAACTTTTGTTCCTTTTTCGACTTCCAAAAATTTGTCTTCACTTTATTTGCATATCAATCAACAGGTTGTGTATATAAACCTGCTTTCCCCTCTGGTCTCTCAGTCACTGACGAAAGCTAGTGGATACTAGCTGAAACGTCTGACGTTTTCAAAATCATATCCAGTTGCTTGAGTAACTGTTTTTTTGGCATATCGTATTACCTGGATGTCTAACCTTCATCGACGTATCAACAAATGTTGTTCTGTTTAAACATGGTAGGTTACAACGTCTATAAACATCTACTTTACAATCCATGTAACATCAAGGCAAGGCCCGAAGCGTATCTTTGTGTTCAATATTTTATTCTTTGTGGATTGGAATCTCAAAAGGTTGAGTTATCAAACTCACACAAACATCGGAGTGTTACTGGTACGATTAATACATAACAGTATCAGATTTAAAAAGAAGCCGACTTCATGGCAGTGGTTGTCGATACCAACAATTAATAGTGATGACAATACTATCCCGGGTGCCACGCTCCGTGGTTACCACTCGCTAACTACGGAGGACGTTACCCGGGCTTTGACAACGCATCATTATCTCAATTCAGCCGCCTGTGGTAATGAATAGTCGGCACCTACGTGCAACACAGCACGATGCATATTAGCTTTGTGACTGCTTCTCTTGTCGGCCCTCAATACAAGAAACGAGCTTTGTATCAGTCTGTTACCATGACTACGCGTGCTCACACCACAGTCGTCCTGCAGCCACTCAAATTTCTCTCAAATTTGATATTAATGAGTCACGTGACGCCTACTTTCAACATGAAGACAGTTCAACTGAGTTCTAGTCTTTTTCAGAAATGTATCAAAGAACACAATGTACAAATATACACAGTTTTTACTCATACACAACCACATTTTTCGAAACCAGTATAAATACTTTCTTACAAAATTCACAAGGTGTCTTGTTTGTACATGGTCAGAAAAAAACGTAGAGATATTTGACGGGTGAGGATGTGACAAGTTCTATTCTATTCAATGACTAAGTGTAGGAAAACAACTTTCTAATCTTGTACTCTATTCCATTCAGTTCCTCTATTTCTGGAAAAATGTACAAAACATGTCTTTTCTATTGCACGTCTGTCGTTAAGGAAAGGACGGGTTGTTGGTTGTGTCGTACGTAATCCCCTCCTAGCATTTTTCGTCCGTTCGACAAAAGGTAGCGACATTACAGCAATGGGATGATTCACAGTATGGAATATGCTAATAATCGTACATATCATAGTTCAACACATTGATTTCTTTTTGTAGGACATACATCAACTGGTATCTGTATTATTTACACCCCGGTGTTTCAGAGAACAACATTGTCATGTACCTGCAGCGGGTAATGTACACAACCTGATCACAAACACAGAAACTAAGTTATCCTATTCAATATCATACATGCGCTCCAAGCTTTGACATACATGGCAATAGATTGGATTTTTGTTATATATAGCTCATTAAGTTTGGCTCATTTGCCTGTTGCTCTAGTCTGAATGCATTGTAGCTTCTAGCAGCCTTTTCACTAGTTGTGGATGAAGCCCAATTAACCCCTGGCAGCAAGATATTGTGTATCACAGCCTACCTGTTGCTCGCGTCCACAGCCAATTAATTTTTAACAGCACAATAAAGTTAGTACGTACGTACCGCGGTGCATCGCTCAACGGTCCGGTTTCTATCAACATGAAACAGCCAGCGTCACACAACAGGAACATGGCTCACTCGACGAGTTTCCTAGGTCTGCAGGCCATTTTCGCCCACAATACGGATACTCGGCGAACTTCTGGCGAGTAACCTATTCGGCCGCAGGTGGTCAGCAGTGCGACGCCGCATTACGATAGAACTAAACTCATAGTTTATCACTCCTCTTAGTAGTTACTATCAACACAACTTTTCTATACCAGAATTAACTAGCCGTGCTCTGAATTTTTTTCGTTTTTTTTCCCTCAGCAACTGTCGTCACAGCCCAATTAGGGCCGCCCGAGACGCCTGGAAAAGACAAGCTTAAATGGACACGCGACTTCACGTTCACGTGAAGAAAGACTCTTCGGCTAATTTTTCTAATCACAGCGACTGTCGTTAAACCTAATTAGATTGACAAGACAGGTGGAGGAAAACTAGTGTACACACGACGTCACTTACACGTGTGGAAAGATCCGACTTTTCATTTTGGCAAACGTGCGTGTCCCCAAATCACGGCCAGTTTTCTAATTCACGCCAGGGTACCAGTCTTTATCGAGGCAGCAAGTCTTCCACAATTTCATTATTTTCTTACAGCACGGAAAATATTCTGAATCAGCACTTGGAACTGTATCACCAATTTACAATATGAAAAATTCAACATAGGCAATAATCCTGTCCAAAACGTAAACCTCACTGCACGTCCACACAGCGTTAGGGCAGAACGGAACCTTACAGCTGCCGTACTGAACAGGAACAGGGAGGTGGTGTGTGCTTCTGGCCTGTGTCCCCTTTCAACATCATTTTGCTTTCTATATCAACAAATACTTAGAAGTCACACGGATATTGCAAAATGTCCCTTTACATGAGATTAATCTATCCACGTGCCCCAGTGACAGGTATGCAACATCACCAAACATGACAATGCCGAGAAAAATTATACAAAATCTACCAATATACGTACCGCTTCATATATCACATGTCAAACCTAGAGCGTTATTATTACCCATAAGAACATCTCATCGCTTAATGAAACCGCAATAATGTCTGGTGCAATCGATCGAATCCCTGTAGTTTTGAATGAAGTTAGTGTCAAACCTCCGTGTGCAGATATATGACAGCAATGTACATGAGCTAGACCTGTGCAATACTACTGCATAATAATAATGAATCTGAAAAAGAAGCGACATAGCTGCGCAGAAACAGCAGGAAGAAGAGTTACACCTATACAGTATTTGAACAACCGATTCACGTCATTAAATAATCCAACTTATGGATACAATAGATCTACCTGTAAAATGTCATTACAAAGTACAAACTGATTTTCTATAGTTGAACGGGGGTAGCTTTGACATGCTCAGCTTTGTTTCCCCGTTGTTATTGTCCTTATATAGTCATATGGTGGTCCTGCGGTTATACCTTCTCGCCGAGCCGTTTGGCATCTCCTCGTTGTGCCTGCTTTGGAGCATCTCTACTGTCACGGTGGCCAGGGCCGATCGGACGGAGTAACCCGGGAAGTGCTTGCGCTTGCACAGGCCCTTGGGGCAGTACTGACACAGGGTCTTGGCAAAAGCCCTGCGGAACTCTATGCTGGAGCATGCGTAGATGATGGGGTTGAATCCCGAGTTGACGTAGCCTAGCCAGGTGAATATGGCGTAGAGGAAGTCCACCCCGTCGATGCACTGGAACGAGCATGCGCTGATGATGATGTTGAGCACGAAGAACGGCAGCCAGCACAGAATGAACACGCCGATCACGATAGACAGCGTCTTCGCCGCCTTGTGTTCTTTTGTAAACTTCTGCAGCCTCTTGGCAATCTTAATCTGCCGCAGTTTCTTGTCGTTCGCGGCCTGTGAGAGTCTCTCGCTGTTGGAGACAGCCCCGTTGCCGCAGGGCACCAGCGATTCTTTCCTCCCGGCGGCACTTCCCCCGCCGCGGTGGACACGTAAGGACAGACTCTCCCCGTCCTTCCCGTCCGCGTCGAACACCTTCACGCCCTGCATGAGGCTCTTTCTCTGCCGGGCGGCGATTCTGTAGATCCTGTAGTAGGTGAAGAGCATGATGAGGAGAGGCACGTAGAAGGAGACGCACGAGGAGGTGGCCAGGTAAGTCGTGTCCGAGGTGAAGAGGCACAGGTGGTCGGGAGAGCTCGGGTCACCCACCGCCTGCCACCACGCGATCGCCGGGAAGGAGATCGCCGCCGAGCAGAGCCAGACCAGGGCGATCATCAGCCGGGCCCGGCCGACTGTCACCCGGCAAGGGTACAACACCGGGTCGGTGATAGCCCAGTACCTGTCCAGGGAGATTGCACAGAGGTTGAGTATGGACGCCGTACTGCCCATCACGTCCAGCGAGTGCCAAATGTCGCACCACAGCTTCCCGAAAAGCCACTCTCCTCCCGTTACTTCCAGGGAGATGCCGAAGGGCATGACCAAACTCCCGATCAACAAGTCTGCGAAGGCCAGGGACACGATGAGATAGTTGGTGACTGTCCGGAGTTTCCTGTCCCTGTACACGACCGCGATGACTAGCAGGTTCCCCGCGATGGTGAAGACTGTGAACAGGGACAGCACCAGGATGACGATCGGGCCGGCGCCTCCCTGGGGGGCCGCGATGCCAGTGGGTGGGAAAGTCACGTTGCTGGCATTCATGGTTACAGACAAAGATGCCCTGTGTGCTTTCTCCTAACTCAAGTCTTTGTTTCGTGAGATGGGGCGGCGAAAAGAATGGCGGTGAGGAAACAGAACCGAGAGTCACGTTTTTCGCGGGGAGATTTCGCGTCCAGCAGGTGACGTCACCGATCAGCTGTGATCTGCAACTGCTTACGGCACACTGCTGACGTCAGCAGCAACCGGACCCTTCATTCCTGGAACATAGAGAGTAACAACACAAATTACAACCTGTTTGTCCCTCAACGAACGCTTTTGTTGGAGTTGGATTCACTCCCAGACCACTGCTGAGCAACAGCTGAGAGACCAAAGATGTGTTTTAGATCATACTAGCACTGTTAACGTAACGTTCATCATATTTCAATTATACAATGAAGGGTCACAGAGATCTTTATTGGCACAACAAAAGTACAGCGACTTTCGTAAGGTCTAAAACTGCATGAAGATATACAGACAGATACATGGGTAGAACGAAATTAACCTACATACAAAACAATAGATGAGTCAACTAATACTACTTGTTCTAAGGTCTAAACATTCTTTGATATATTTACCTATTTGTACACAGAAAGGGTTATTACCTTCTAGGATGAAATTAAATGTATCTATAGCATGAAATGTAACAAATTCTGTTGAGCAAGCGGAGAGAAAGTTGAACAGCTCTGTGCGTTTATCGTTATATAGTGTACAATTCAAAATAAAATGTTGTTCGTCTAAAATATCATTGGGACAGAATGGACAAAACCTTTGGTTGCGGGGGATTTTTTTTATATCTCAAGGGGTCTTATTATATGAAGATATGTCAGTTCGTCCCCACCCTCCAGCTGTTTAATGGGGAGGCCACATTATTTGGGGTGGACACTTATTCACCGGTGTTTTGATTCTCTCTCAGAGGGTTTCATTACATGCTTTTAAGAAAATGTCATAAAACCTACCTTATGTACATACATGATAAATCCCCGCCAATGTTCCCGATATTCATCATAGACAATGGTGCTTTAACACTATGAATTATATTAGACGAAACGCAACCGTGCACGTGTCTCACTGACAATGACAGTTTTGCTCCGTATTGCGATCAACCGTCACACGTAAGCAAAGTACCGTTCACTGGATGCAAAACGTGCAAATTGATTCTGATCATCAACATTTACGTCTTGTCGGTATATATATTAGTAATTAGGAAATTACCACCGGTGGTAATTATTAGGGTTGGGGTATTAAGTGAATTATCGCCCCAGTTGGTCTGAACGTAAATACCGGATGAATAACACATTCGTTTATAGAGATAAAATGCAAGTACCGGTGCGGTTCAATCAAAATGATAGGTTCGTTGACATCACTTGCGTAAGACAAACACCCCCACCCCCGCTGGGAGAACAGCGGGCGAGCTGTCTGATCCCACCGGAATAACGTTTCAACTCTCAGTCATCAAAGCTCATCTTCCATGTGTTTATCTTAACAGACATCAAATAATATAGCTGGAAACCACGGATACAAGTAATAACGTATCAAATAGCAAGGAGATTACATTTTAAGGGTGGAAAGCGTCTCAATGAATCAAGTTATATAAGGATGGCAACAGCAGCCCTTTGGCTGGGACACATCCTGGATATCGCTGTTGTATTTATGTCTGTTTCCCGTGTTGTGTAGCAGGAGTACAGTATAACTGTATTCTCTCTGCATCTCATCTATCCCTCAGTCTGATTATTTGACCGTTGGGGCATAGCAGAAGATCCGGTTTTCTCCACCCTTCTCGGTTTTCTATTCTTCTTAGCGTTTCACGTAGTGTCATAATGGCCCATTCTCTGATATATTATCCTCCCATCTTTGCCGTTGTTTACCCAAGAATAGACAAAACAACTGACAAAAAAAAACAATACTTCATACGATTCCAGTACTTGTAACATGGGACAAAGATAAACGTTTTTATATATGCTCAATATCAGTTGTCACTTTTATTCTATCCCTTTCTGTAGATCCAATAGATATTGAGTAGACCTAATGTCATACCAAAGATGAAAATTGCCAGAGCCAAATTCTGTGATAACAACTGCGACACAAGGCTGCTGATGTTACTGAGATCAAAGAGACGCAGAGTGGAGGGAACCAGAAGAGGTGATGAAGATGTTCAGACTGTTACAAAATCCAAGATTGCAAATTCTAGCGTCATAAACCTGGGAGTATTGAAACTTTCTTTCCTAAAACTATTAGAGGAACACAGTGCTTCGTCATTGCAAAGTGGGACAAGCAAATCTCGAATCAGGAGAGTCATAGGATCTGGAGAGCGTGCCAAATGGAGGTAGATAGGGTTGGAGTATGACAGGTCGGTTGCTCCGAAGAAAGGGCGCGATTCTGCGATTTGACCAATTTTGAAACAGAAGAATAAGTTTATGAGGTACATATAAGGTTCAGGATCTCGACATTACTTGATCCGATTTTGTATCCTTAAGCACAGACCTGCCAAACGTAAACTACACGGTTGCCAGAATATGTTGATACGTAAAGGTAAAGGTTCCATCGGTTCGTGACAACCAATCCACCCCCAAGATAAACACGTTTAAAATCCTACATTTACGACAGACTGCTAGCAAGGGCGTCCCGTTCTACAGGCATACATGAGATCCAGAATTCGGATGTAATAACCACAGGAAGCATACGAACCGCGGATGTAGTCACAAACATCTGTCTTCTGAGAACTCACTCCAGGCACCTCTCAAGATTAAAGCACATACACGGCAGCTTCAAGGATACTTCCTTATTTGGTAGAGTGAAAAATCCAACCAGTATGTATAGAAGATTGCGATAATAACAGGAAACATGTATTCCTGACAACTGTAAAGAATCAAACATCATTACTAGAGACTGGAACGACACGACACTGAAGTGAAAGAAAAGAAACACGAGAAGGGTACCGGTGAAGAAAACTGTCAGATTTTCTGTGGGGCCCCAAGGGTTACATATAATTAGACTAGGGATAGATAAGAGGAGACCATCATCAGCATTCTTCTATCTCTGAAGACGTTCATACGACAAAGTGCTGCGATCAGAAGTATCCTTGATGTGGCAGCAAACATATCGTCAAGAATCTAGCTTTCTTATTACGTATGTGACATAGCAAAAATAATAACGATTCATGATAAACTCCAATATGGTCATATAAATGTATATTTCTACGGGGATCAACTATTTCCAACATTTCTTCCAAATTAAAGATAAAGAGCACGGTGAATTTGATCTCAGAGAAATGTTTGTCTTGTCGCGGCTCTCTCCCCGATATCAACTCCAGGCTTACATTCAATCATAGGTATCAATGACTAGGAGTCATGAATAGTTCTACAGGATAATCTGAATTTAGATCTACTCGACAGTCAATAACCACTTTCTTGCACATGTACCAAAACCTATTTACAATCGGAAAATAGGCTAATAATAGGCTTTATCCCATCCGCAAGGAAATATCATATCCTAATGCTGGTGACATTTTCATTGAAGACAATAAAGTAAGTATATATAGTAGTTGCATTTGGTGAACATTGCAGTATCTCTTACACTAAAAAAACAGTAAGTATCCCTGTAACCCTCTGCAGTGGTTACTGTGCTTTCAACTGGATTAATTTGTTGTAACTCAGTGAATATCACAGTAGACAGGATGGCGTAAAAAGCTGTTTATGCGGTCTGTTTCCGGTCCTCTGGGGCGGTTTGTCCAGATGACCGCTACACACACAATAGTGGTAATTTTCCCTGATGTAGGTTCTTTTGCCTGTCAGGTCAGAGACGACAACCGCATATCTTGAAATTACAGGCAGTAAAAACCTTTCGTAACTAAAATCCACCACAACCCTGATAAGCCCAGAACAGCTTGCTTTACAAGTGCCTTTGGCGATGAAAACAAACCGAATCGCACCAGAATACGGATTACCGCGATAAAAAGTCGTTAATGCTCATCAGGTATGATCATCGTCCGCACACCGAGCAATGCACAAAAACAATTTCTCCAGGAAACTAAAGATCACCCACGTAAACACTGAGAACCAGGCCAGAACTTACCCCACAGTCAGCAGTCGGTTCTTTCTTCTACCACTATCAGACAATCTTATACTTGACAGCACACGCGATATCCACCGATCGCGACAACAGGACTAGTCAGAGAGAAACTGGCGTCGGCAGTAGCGCGACTGTTGACGGGCCTTCCGCCTGAAGACCACGCCCCTGATGACGTCAGAGCTCTTATTCACGCTGGGTAGCCGCCACCAAGACTAGCTTTGAACGGTACGCTTGTTAAAATCAAAAAGAAGACGTCATTCACGACCGGGAAAAGGTGATCATCGTCACCGTAAACCTTTCATTAGTGCACATCCTTTTAAGTGTCTGCGTCAGCGGCTGAAGAAAAAAACTAGATCTCGAGTTCCACGACCTCATACCTTGATTAATATATGGCGATGTTCCTCTTGTTCTTAAGTACATATATCACAAGTTTGAATATTCCCATCATTGGATGCAGCCAGTACAAAGGATTTCCTCATTGATTATGCATATTCTTTCCTAATTTGCATAACTGTCATTTAATTATGTTGAGCATCACTTGTGTTACCTACATACCACAAATCTCGATGATCCTTTAAGCAAAATCATTTTGAGGTACTAGGGGTCATCAAGTCACCCACCTACCGAATATCAAAACAGTCCATTCAAGCCTTCTCGAGTTAATTGTATTTACAGACTGGCAGGCAGGTAGACAGCTACGGAAAACATAACCTTCTTAGCAAAGGTGTTATGACTATACCTAACCTTCCTTAGGATATGAAGACAATAGATGTTCTACAGTCACCGTAATATTTATTACAGTTGATCTGTTGAATCTTCCTGCTCCCCAAGATTATACATGTGTATAGAAAATTTGGAAAGGTCTGTTTCTCTGCTGTACCAGAATACATTCAACAGGAGGTTTCAATGTTTAATGTTCATCTGTGTATGCTTCCGTATTATTGTTCGTAAGAAAGCTACATTCAAAGGCGGTATAAGATACAGGAGACATTGTTTCCTTCACTCTTGGGTGTTTAAAATCGATGCCGACCTGTCTGCAAGCCGTTCAAACGTACATATACCCGCAGGTCTTACAAGATTAATGTTATGGATGGCATACTCAGCGCAATCATTTTGATCTTTTTCCTAGAAAAACCTGCTTCTCTCGACA